TTAGAACCTTGAAAAAGTGTACTGAGACGGCGTTTGCGGAGGTAGGACGGGTCTGACTTGGCTAGTAACCGAGTATATTAATGAACTCGGTAATCCACCAGGTGAATTGATGTATCCAGCTTCGATCATTTCCTTTCGATTTGCACACTACATTTCAGTCAAGCTCACTGCAGAAGTCATATGCGTTTTTGACCTGAACAATAATTTCGACATTTGCTGCTGTGTACCCCAGATAGTGAAAANAAAATTTACCCGGAGAGGGTGCAAATAACCTGTACATATTAAGTTCTGTACAGGTTATTTGCACCCTCGGATCTCCATCCAAATTTAATTCGCTAGGACTTTGACGATTTCGCCTTTTTGGATTACACGACCAACTGTCTCCGTAACCCCAAAGAAATATGAGATCGCATAGCTCACTCACCTTAGACAATAAAGGACGTTCACCGCAAATTGACTATATTCGAGAATCAGCGGGATGCTAGCGCTTCAGATTGATCTGCATTCGAAGTTATTATCGAGAGAGAGTCTTATATGATACTCAATCTCGTGCGTAATGGTGAAATATTATTCGCCTTGGTCGTTATTAGATTGTTATGTTCCCTTTGATGCTTAGACGGTTTTGGACGGCGAAATCGTCGAAAGCTTCTGTGCAGTACGTTTCTGTGCTTGAGTATGACTATCGTTTTAATTCTTATAAGAAGTGAACGACTTATTCCGTTACGTTTTTCTTATTACCAGGAGAGCTTGGGTGTTATACTTTGACAATAAGCTTCGGAAGTGTAGCGAAGTTGGATTCCCTCTACCTTTTAATGACGGCGTTTGTGTTGCAGCTCCGTGCATCTATGTAGGGAGAATGTTCAAATCCACCCTTGTTTTTGTTTTTGCTCTCGTGCGCGTTGTTGCTATGTTTTTGTTTTACTTGTTCTTGTTCTTTTTTTTTTGCCGATCCAGCATAGTCGTAGCGTTTGCCGTACTTGTAAATTGTCGCCACTTCTTTCTCTCTACACTATCTTCTGCCGATGCTCTTTCATGATGCATTTCCTGCAATCAACACTCACTGCTAGCATTGGTTCAACTCAACAATGGCCTGTACATCTTTCCATTAGGCCTTGTGGAACATAGAAAAACGTCATAAGTACCTGTAAGCACCCTTCGTCTCATGTTTGTTCTGGGAAATGTACCGAACAAAAGTTTTTTGATATTCATCCAAGGTTTCTGGAGCTCTGCTTCGCATTAATGCACTACTTTTCTTGAAGCCTATCATAGTATAGTAATGGGTTAGCAGAATCACTAGCCCTCGTTTATAGCCCGTTGATTGGGTGTTTGTATCAATAATTTGATTAGTAATTGATAAATGCTGATAGCGATGTTGGAAGGCAAGAGCCGCGTTTATAGTGGATGTTGACACCTCAGCATGCGATGTGGGGATGATAACAATACAGGACAAGACGCAATGAGTCGTTATGCCCTTCGTTCTAGCCATGAAATCTCAACAGTTTGTTAGGTTCTATAGTGTGTTACGGGATTGCAAATTATCAGCGACGGGATTGCAATATGACGGTTGGTGACGGGAACTAACGACAGTGGGCAAGGTTTATTGTGAGCAGTATTATGTAAGAAATGTGTAATTCTATCCTATTTGTATTGATAGCGCGGCTTGGACACTTCTAGAATCAAAGAGAATGATGAGTAGCCGATATCTTTGAGTGGAAACATCGATTGCCAACGCTATTTTCGTTGAGATGTTTCCATAATACCTCTTCAACACCATTGGAAGTTGAACAATCTCTACTGAAAGGAGCTACGCTGTGTACATCCGGTCAATTGACAATCTCTACTGAAAAGAGCTCGCTGCGTACATCCGGTCAACTGCATAACAAACCGGCACCTAGTGCCAATTTACAATTACATTTTTTTTGGATTACAAGCGCTACGATAATCTCTGGCACCTCGGAATAAACCTCCAGTCATTCTTCGCGTACAAGACAGCAGAGTTCTGACTGAAAGGTGTTCAGTTGTTACTTATTTGATGGATGACAATTACGGAGAATTGCTGATTCAGATGGTTGGGAGAAAAGCTATATGACTTTGAACATTGCTATCGGCTTCGGACATTACTCATTGGTTATTCTTATTACAAAAGGATTGGAATTTACGTTTCGCATGAATGTTTCGGACTCATACTACTGTCATGTTTGCTGAGACAGCCCGGTTATTTTTGAAAGGCGACCTCATTTCATAGAAGGGCAAAGTATGTGGATGCATTCGGATATGGAAGGAGCGCCTTTCCCAAAAAACTTTGAGCGGGAGAGCAGCTTCAATACTTAGCTCTTTGAACTCAATAAAAACATGGAGTGATTAACACATATTCTAGGGATGAACAGGAGTTTGCAGAATTGTGCCTCTGTGACATGCACCTTCCCGAAGTTATTGTCTCACAGAAAAGGGTCAAGTTTATTGGAAAGGTCTAAAAAAAAACACCTCTAAGTCTATAGGGATGACATTCCTCTTTCGCACCGAGAGTCGTTGCTAGATATCCAAGGTTCGTTGCTGAAAAGAAGGGTCACAACAACCCTTAATCACAACAACCCTTAATTTCGGTTTACTGTTCTGTTGGCTAAGCTATGGAAAAGTCGCTGCGCCAGATAGATAGATACCACGAGGGTAAGAGTCAAATCTCACAAGGTGGCTATTTTCAGAGCAGCAAGTTTCTTCGACATTGTTCATGACATGCATACAATACTCGGTAAGAACTCGGAAATTCAACCCAATCGACGCGAACTCGCGCCTTTTTCGTCTTTTCTCCATAAATCGGTTCATGACCGAACTGGAGCAACCCAGGAGCTGATGATACCGTTCAACTCAGCTCTCAAGCTCCATAAGCTGATACCTTGTGTGCTAGAAATACTCCCTGCGAGGGGGTATCTGCCTTGCAGCCCATCATTAGCGTTCCCATCTTGCTCTGAGCTCCTAGAAGTTTGAACAAAAAGAACGAGTCCAATCCAAAAATTTTTGCCTACGCCCCGCCTCCTACGGGCAGAATCTAGCCCTACCAATTATTATTAGTGTTCGCATTCAGCCGATCGTACTCCCGCAAAATTTGAACTTTCAAGGTCCAAATTAATATATTTTGCTCTTCCCCGCCCCTTGGGCGAAGTACACTCCTACCAATTATTACCAGTGTTCAGATCCCGCCACCGGTACTCCTACACAGTTTGAACGCTTTAGGTACACGGGAACAGATTTTTCACTTATAACCCACCCATTGCGGGCCGATTCCGGTCTGGCTACACAGCATAATTGTTCCTATCCTGCCGCCTGTAATCTTGACGAATTTGAACACGCATTTGAACAGGATCGTAAATACCGAATGCGTTAGGATTTTGACTGGTAGGTGGCACTTGCGCTCTTAGACTCCTTATCTTCTATTATCAGTTGTCATCGTTTCCTGTCACCGAGTACCTACGATCACGTCCTATCCCACATCTCCTATTAAAATGCTAAGGTTTTACTGTTAATGCGAAAAGTGTGATCCTACCAAGTTTGAACGCTCTAGATCCACGGAGGCAGGAGTTATTAACTTGCGGCCCAAAATTTCTATCGCGCACGCCCCGCCCTCTGAGAACGGAGTATGGCCCCGCTACCTGCCATGTTCTCATCCTATTGTATGTAATCCTACCAAATTTGGACGTTGAGAACAGGAGTTATGAACTTCCCGTTCAACACACACACACCGACCACACACACTCACACAAACAAACACACCGACAAACCAACAGACACACTTAGCGAATTATATGTAGTAGGATTCATATTGGACTGTTCCGAAAGTTCTTCCGGTTTTTGAGTTACCTTCTAGTGGAAATTTTTATAAGAGCAAATTATTATATCCTTCATTCCGTTCAGCAATGGTTCGCCATCTCCGTGTTCGTTTCATTATCCTAATTTCCTAAAATGTTATGGACTGAGAGTCGAAAAGCACCTCTTGGTGCTTTTCGCAGTCCTTCAGGGGATTGAATGATGTTCCATTCTAGGAACTGTAGGAACCTGAAAATGTGGTAGCCTGTTGCTGCTGTGTCCGCACTATATGTGGGGTTGAGTCAGACATCTCACTCAATCTCCAGCAATTTCTGACGAGTGACCAAAAACGTTTGATCCGGAGTTGTCCTGCTGGCTACCTTTATTGCTTAGCTGAGCACAGCAGCTCTCCGAAGTTATCGTTTGGTAATGTGGCAACAGCACTAGAATGGCTCCACGATTGCTGGCGCTCATTTCGTGAGGTACCCAAATATTGAGGCATTTAACAAAACCAAGTTCCGGCAAATGACCGTGGATTGTTGATTTCGAAACAATGAGCCTTTCTCCCATTTCACGAATAATGACATGTCTATTCGCTTTGATTAACACTTTAATTTGGCCGTTTTAATCTGGTGATAGCCTACCTGATGTTGTCGATTCTCTGGGATGAATTCACACTGCTAGCATTCGCAAAGTACTAACGCACTGTGCGATCTCTAGAGCATTGTCTACTCATATTTGAGAAATCGTTCTTGTGGCTTGAGCAGCGTTCTTGCCCTTGCGATAAAAGAAAAGCATCAGGTGCCGAAAATGCACGCGATGGTCTTCGATTTTCACCGAGTCCTATACAAAAAGACCTCGGGGAACTTTGACGGAATCCAAACAGGGATATAGAGGAGGACATACCCTTTTCAGAAAATACATAACCTGTTCAGATTGGGTCCTTGATCTCCTGTACAACGGTTGATAAGCCAAGGGGGTTCAAAAACGGTGGGAACTAGTCGGACTACCCAGTATGATATATCATGCCTGTTTGTGTTGCAAAATTACGAGAGGACGGCTCACTGAGAATCGTGTAAAATCATCCTGAACAGGTGAGAGTAGCTTTGTTTATTGACACTGCCACTTTGTGATATGTCATCCTGATCACATATGGATTGCTAACACAATTCATTCATTCAAGATACGAACCGGTGGCAATGCAGGAATGTCGTCGTGAAATCAACGAGTCTTTGGTGGCAAGTAATCGCTTTTCGACCACTGTGATGCGTAAAGAGCAACATAATCTTCGCAATCACTTCGAATTCCTCTGCAAGTCAGTTTGACTTTTTTCAGTACTGAATCGATGCGGTCCCGCTGTAATCTAACCACCTGCTACTGGGGTTAGAGCATATCCTAGGAATACACTAGGACCACCTGGGTGAATGATTTGGAAATCGTCGCCTTCGAAGGAGTTGCATGGAAGTCAGAAGTGGTAAAAGGATACCTTTGTCTGCAAGAGTTTACTCTTTTTGAAATCAGTGTCATTCGAAAGGGAATTTCCAGGAAATGAAGGTGGAAGCGCCTCATGGGAGCACCGCTATCAATTGCCCGTTCATAATGAAATGGATGACATGATGCTTGCAGAAATCAGTCCTGAGATTAAATTTTCTTGTTTAGACGCCTTGGTGCAATGATTGAATGCGTAGAACCGGTTACACGTGGTGGATGCGGAGACAAAGCTGCGACCATGATGCTGCGTTTTATCACTGTCGGCTTCAGCAGGTCCACGCCTGATCAACGAGTTTGAATTTATGATTACTCTAATTTGTCCAATTCCGTAGTCATCTATCATGAAAGTAACGAAACAAAAAATTGAGCCCTGGTGGAGGATTGAAGCAAAAATGCAAATTTATTCATCAATGGGTTGAGAAGCGAGAGAATTTTTTGGCAGGTTACCGGAAGGTACGAAGAAGGAAAAAAGTTGGTTTTAATAACTACAACTCGATGGCATCGAAAATCTTGCTACATATAGGTCGTTAAAGGTGTATGTATTCGTTTGTGTTTATGAATGGGGTTCTATCAAACGTGGCCAGTGTGTTGATTGATGATATTTGTCGGATGTGGAAGGATAGGACTACTTTGTTAACGTTGAATATTTAATATTCGTGGCGTGCTTAAGCGATGTGAGATGAGGGTGTGTCTGCTCTGCGTTGGGAAGTGATATGCGTGGTGTGTATTGTGTGGATTGTAATTTGCGTGGTATGCCTATGGTTTACGGTGTGTATGTTATGTGTGTGTGTCCAAAAAAACACAACTGTTCTAGCTACAAGGTTGGCGATTTATGGACAATCTTTAATCTTGGACGGTTGTCGAACCCGTACATGTGCTTTGCGGGCACCGTGCTCTATCATTTACACTACCGAGACCTCTCTTGCCCTCGCCTTCTTAATGGCTTATATGCCACCAGTCGGGCCGCCCGGCTAACGCCGGGCTTCCCTCCTTCTTAGGGGTTCGCCCGGCTACGCCGGGCGCTCCTTCTTCTTGTGAGAAGTTTGCTATGCGTAAATAACACTTCGGATTCTTCGTTTGCTATGAAAGCTCTACACCCTCAGTATTAGCTCCGAAGTGGGAGCGATTTTTTCTGTAAGCCAACCTCGCTGTGTTCGAAAGAATATCGTTTAATATCACAAAGGCGATTATTCTGAG